CTCACAAATGCAAGCATTCCTCCTATGTAAGCTTCCACATGGCATTAATATATGCCAAATGGTACTTATGTGGCATGATGACATGGCGAGTCATCACATTAAACTATTATAGAGAGAAAGCTTTTATCTACTTATTTATATTATGTCTTAGCAAATTCTTCAATCATCTGAAATTATATGTACTTTGACTAGAAGCATTATGTTAGAAGAGAAATTGTCACTGTCACTAGTCACTTTCCCAGGCCCCTTTTTCTTTTACGCGTTTAAGGACTATGCTCTTGTACGTTACAGAGAATATAGCAATAAGTTTCAATGAAGGAGCTATTATTGTTGCTACTTGCTACATTGCCAGTGTAAGGATTTTCGCTTCAAGTAATCAGCAACCATTACTCATCTTTTTCAACTTTTTTGAGCAAATGACAAATGAAGATGGAGTAGGAAAATATTTAAGATTCTCAGTACTTTAACCATGAGAACTGCCAACAACATTATTGAAGATCAGAAGATACTTATTGCAGTCACAACCATGAAGAACAAACTTAGAATCCATAGAGAAAAAACCATCCCATAACATAGCAACTCTTAAGCATAGGCTTCAGGATTTTGAAGGAGATAAGCTTCTACAACTTTGAACATAGCCGAGACCTTCTCCTTGCCTGCCTTGATCTCCTCTTCATTGAGCTTGAAATCTCCCACAGTATAGTATGTGCTAGTCACCTTAGATATGGAACCACCATCTGCTGACTGCTCAAACTTCACATCATAACTTATTTTCTCAAGGTTGTCTACCAATCCATCACCTCCAACCAATGTGTATTTATACGTGTATGTCTCCTCGTTAAGCTCATCAACACGATACTTTATGGATTTAAACTTGCCCCCTATACGAACCAAAAGAAGAAGAAAAAATAAGATCATAGTTCTCATTTTCTTCAGGAATGTTATTCAACTAAGCAGACTTTTGCACAAAAATAAAGAATAATTTGATGATTGTACCTTCAGGAAAATTGATGGTCTTAATACTTCCAGCACCGCCATCGCCTTGAACTTCAATGCTTTTAATAGCTTGTGGCATCAACTTAGGGATCAACTTATGAGAATCAATAATGGAGGCTTTGAATATTCTTTTGGGGGGGAGTGGGGAAGTGTGTTCCTCAGTGAAGGTGGTGACTGCCATTTTTTGGTTCTTAGAAGAAAATAAATGAGTCGGAATTTTTGTAGGGGAGATCTTCTTGTTTGATGCAAAAAGAATGGAATATATCAGAGTTTATATAGGTTCGAGTCCTGGAATTATATAATCTTGTGGTCATTTTCATGGCAGGCCAAATATATGCTTTTGCTTGTCTACATTGGTTTCCAGAGTTTGTATAATTGCTATAGCTGAAGGATCTGTTTGTCCTCTGTTTATATGCTCTTGGTTGGATTTACTTGTTCAAAATGAATTTAGATCTTTATTTGATTTCTTAATTTTGTATACATGAACTAGGAAATGGTCCATCCAATTTTTAAGGATTTTTGTTTTTGGCCTGTCTTCAAGATTTCTCTTCTTTCTTTCTTTCTTTCTTTCTTTCTTTCTTTCTTTCTTTCTTTTTCTCTTTTCATAGGGTACACCTAATCCCCACTACACTTTTATCAAGTGAAAACAGAAAATAGTTTGTATTTTATTGTACTACCGAGTCGCTTGATAGATCAGGATTTGGTCATTGAGTGGATAAAGGAATCAATTCATAATTGTTTCTTTCTAGTAGAATAATCATCAATTTCGTATGTGTATATGAGTGTGTCAAGAGACAAGGACAACCGAGAAATATTTTCAATCTTTAACTCTGTTTATATGACCTAGACCGAAGATAATGTTGTATTTTTTTCCATCGATCCAAGCCGAATTTATGAAAGAAAAAAACACACTAGAGAATCTAAAATAGACGTTCACATCTGTATAGCGTTAAAATACATCTGGATTCAAGTTAAACATCCAAGATCGTTCAAGAAACAATGACTTTTAGATTAACCATGAATTTTACATTTTACATTGAGAAACCAATTAGTGACTATCATCAACATCAAGCTAGAAGGAAAAGCGGATACATTTTGCAGAGTGCAAATAAGAACGGGAACTAAATTTCTCCACGGTAACCTCCAGACCCGAAGTAGTCTCTCCTTGAATTGGCAATCTGCACGCTCTTTTGGTGCTCTAGCTTGGGGCAGTCACGGATACGATGACCAAGCCCACCACAATATGCACAACCCTTTACTCCACTCGCATTCGTGATTGCCTCAACGTCGTCCATGGGATCATTGAGCTCCGCAAGGACAGGAGGGATCCTTTGTTTTGCTTCTTGTAACAAGTGTTTTAGATCAAGAAGTGTCGTCTCGCTCTGATTCTTGTTGATAAAGGTTGTGGCAATTCCTGTTTTTCCACATCTTCCCGTTCGTCCAATCCTATGCACGTAGTTTTCAATTTCAGCAGGCATATCGTAGTTTATTACATGCTGAATATCAGGAAAATCTAACCCCTTAGAAGCAACATCAGTTGCAACCAGAACATCTTTCTTGCCAGATTTAAATGATGCAATTGCATATTTTCTCTCTTCTTGATCCTTGCCTCCATGAATAGCCACAGCTTCAACTCTTTTTAAGAGAAGATATTCATGGATATCATCCACATCAGCCTTATTCTCACAGAAAACCAGAACTGGAGGTGGAGTTTTTTGTAAGCACTCAAGAAGGTAAACAATCTTGGCTTCCTGCTTTACATATTCCACTTCCTGAATCACATCAAGGTTGGCTGCTCCAGCCCTCCCCACATTCACAGTTATTGGTTTAACTAATGCACTTCTTGCAAAATTCTGGATCTTCGTGGGCATTGTAGCAGAAAATAAAAGGGTTTGTCTTTGAGCTTTGAAATGATCAAACACCTCCCTAATATCATCTTCAAAACCAAGATCGACCAATCTGTCTGCTTCATCTAGTGTCAAGTATCTGCAAAAAACCAACACTACGGTAGGCACCGCAAACTTCGCAGACATACATTATAAGAAAGTAAAGAAAAAGAAGCAAATCAACAATCAATGGAGAGATTAATCAAGTTATATACTGACATATACAATCTCTGAGCGCATGGACTCAAATTAGCATTTAGTAGTCAGTCAGTAATTCCCACTGTTTAAAATTGACTTTGGCTGAAAAAGAAGATACCTATGCTGTGAGCAAAATGCTCCCACAAACAGTTTTCCATCTATATAAGTGTCTGAACTCTCAAAGGCACGGTGTAGATATGGGACAGCACCAAATATTATGCGGAATAGCAAACAACCAGGAAAGAAGCAACAGATGACAACTGATGGTGAGAGCAGGCAACGCCAAATAATTGATTGATCAGAGGTTAAGTATAAGAAAATGAGATGCTCAGTGTAACACAAACTCTCTATACTATACAAGCTAGGGAAAAAGGTTTTGATTACTCTTCATCTGTTCATCTAGTATTTATATATTTGAGATCAACGAGATCCCAGCCAGATGAACACATTAGACTCCAACGCATAGAAAAACAAGGACGACTACTAGAAAGATATAAAAAAATACTACCTCAATAACCGATCTGCAAGATTAGGTACATACCTGATTCATTTTCTTCTTTGCTAACATATCTTTGAGTCTTCCAGGTGTAGCAACCACAATGTGAACTCCCTTCTTTACAACATCAATTTGGGACTTCATATCAACTCCACCAATACACAGCAAAGGCCTCAATTCAGGGTAACCATACTCCCTCAGTGGTTCTAAAAATTGTTCGATAACTTCATATGTCTGTCTAGCCAGCTCTCTAGACGGACAGATAATCCAGCCAAATGGTCCTTCCCCGGGAGCAATAGGCATCATAACTTCTTCCTGCAAAGCCACCATAATAAGTGGCAAGACAAAAACCAATGTTTTACCAGAGCCTGTAAAAGCTATACCTATCATATCGCGACCTGATAAAATAA